ATAAGGAAGGAAAAATAAAAAAAAGTATCATTTATTCTTCTCTAGAATCTTGATTATGAAAGAAAGTTTGGATGGTAGCCAAAATGAGTTGCTTTGGGCAAGGGAAGTTTCTTTGTTTTTCTTTTTTAATAAAATTTAGAAAGGGAAGTGAAAGGGAAAATGCTGAAAACAAAGGAGAAATCAAGTTACAGATGGACAGCTTCTTTTTTCAAAGGGGTGTGGATAAGAAGGGAGTGGGTCAGAAGCAAGATGAAAGCATAACATTGAAAAGGAGAAGGCTATTTTGTTCTCGGTCATAAGAAATAAAGGAAGTGCCAGTGAGAGCTGAGAGAATGTTTAAATATGACGATATAAAGCAAAAGTTTCAACCTTGAGAGTCAAGACATTTTTTTCTGTGAAGAAGGGAGCAAATGTTAAGAATAGACCAACAGGGCTGGGGATGTGGCTCAAGTGGTAGCGCGCTCACCTGGCATGCGTGCAGCCCAGGTTCGATCCTCAGCACCACATACAAACAAAGATGTTGTGTCCGCCGAAAACTAAAAAATAAAATATTAAAAAATTCTCTCTCTCTCTTAAAAAAAAGAAATAGACCAACAGGTGTACTGAGCAGAGCCTTAGGATTCTAGAAATAGGCATCAATGAGAATGGAAGATTACCTTAGTCATGTGAGGAACTGTGGGTCCTGCTCAAAGTCCTGCTGTGCAGGTAGTGCTACTGAAATTTAAGAATATTTATAAAAATTTTCCCTAAGTTAATAGCTCAAAACTACATTTCAAAAATTTTCAATCATTACTTGAAATCAGCAATGGATCAATAAATACATTAAGGGATATGAAACTGATAAATAATGAGACATAAAAACTTCATCAAAAATACTTAAAATGAGTACGGAAAGAAAACATAGTTATCAAACAAGCTGAATTACTTAAATTCAACTCACCAACATTAACACMAATGGTAATGCTAAATGACATATAAACTGACACATCCATTTTTAAATTTCATAATAGGTTTGCTATTTATTTCATTATTTTTACCAATGCTCAGTGCACAAATATAATTTAATATTTTTATTAACATTCTAAAGGTTGAATTTATAAAAATTCTTATGTTTACATATAATAATCTCTTACKCTTGCCTTATGTAATCTTAGCTTTTAAGACTGGGGCTCCCTGAACATCACCATCAATCATGATTACATGTCATCACAGACTATAGGTGAGTTATTAAAGCCACACACAGTTCATTGTGTTTGGTAGAACTCAATTTTGCTGACATTGAATTTCTTCTCCTCTTTTGCTGGAGTTTGATGTGTAAAAGTGATGCCATTCCCTGAGCAGAAAGCCTRAATGGAAACTCTGGAAAATCTCAGCTCTTTYCCTCTTTTAGACGAGGAAATCCAGGCCTTGCTCCACAATACTTTTGTCCTTTAATCCTTCCTATTACATATTTGCTTTTCAGATGTTTGATTGAATTTATGTTAAATTTTGTGACTTCTCTTTTCCTTCACAGAAATGATTTTTTGACTATTAACATAAGTGCAGGTGCTCAGTTATTTTTTTAAACATTCAATGGGAACTGCAAACTAAAATGTATTCCATCATCTAAAAGGATTGTTTATACTGAGATTCTATCACACTCCATTCAGAATGGCAATTATCAAGAATACAAGCAACAATAAATTTTGGTAAGGATGTGGGTAAAAAGATACACTCATACATTGCTGGTGGGACTCCAAATTGTTGCAACCAGTATGGAAAGCAGTATGGAGATTCTTCAGAAAACTTGGAATGAAACCACCATTTGACCCAGCTGTCCCACTCTTAGATTTATACCCAAAGGTCTTAAAATCAGCATATTACAGTGACACGGCCACATCAATGTTCATAGCAGCTCAATTCACAATAGCCAAACTATGGAACCAACCTAAGTGGCCTTGAACAGATGAATGGATAAATAAACTGTGGTATATATACACAATGGAATATTACTTAAATAAGAATGAAATTATGGCACTTGCCTATAAATGGATAGAACTGGAGACTATCATACTAAGTGAAATAAGCCAATCCCCCAAAACAAAAGACTGAATGTGTTCTCTCATATGCAGATGCTAATTTACAATGTAGGTGGGGAGAACAGAGGTATTTTGGACTAGACAAAGAGGAGTGAAGAGAGGGGAGGGGGCTTAGGAGTAGGAAAGGTAGTAGAATGAATTGGGCATTATTATCCTATGTGCATATATGATTATATTATATTTGCAACTCTTCAACATGTACAACCAGACAAATGAGAAGTTATACTCCTTTTTGTATGATGTGTGAAAATGCATTCTTCTGTCATGTATAACTAATTAGAACAAATAAAAACCACTTTAAAAAATAAATAAAAATAAAAGGATTGTTTTCAATATATAATCATTAATCTTGTGAACCCACATGATGAGTACTTTTTGCAAGTTTCCTAATTTACTTGGTATAAAACATAGAAAGTTGAAAAAGATACCTTAAATTTATTATTTGCACCTAAATAACACATGTTGTGATTTTAGAATAGAAAAATTTCTATGCATTGTCAGATTATGCTGATGTGAATGCTTTCTTCATAAAGATATGAATAAGATGGATAAGATATAACAGAGATTGAATTCAAGGGAAAAATGGAAAGTGCAGATGCCAGAAACGAGACAAGGAAACTAAGGTAACTAAGTGTGATGGTGCACACCTGTATTCCCAGCTACTCAGGTAGCTGAGGCAGGAGGATTGCAAGTTCAAGGCCAACCTAGGTATCTTAGGGAAGCCCTGTCTCAAAACAAAATAAAAAGGGCTAGGATGTAGTTCAATGGATGAGAACCCCTGTGTTTAATCCCCAGTAGGACCAAAAGAAAAAGAAATGGAAAAGAAGATTGGTATTTTAAGCCTCTAAGTTTTGGGGTGGTATCAGAAAGGCTGATGAATATGCCATCTACATTATATTAAATATATTTATTATCATAAATAATTAAACATAATTCATTGTATAAATGTAAGAGAGACACAACTTTCCATAAAAAAAATTGAGACAGCTTTTTAATGGATATCTCTGAAAGAACCACTAATAAGAAATCCTTCAAGAAGAAAGAAATAAAACCCAGAAGGAAATAGTTGGATGCTAGAGACTAATCAATATATTTATAAAGTAAATAAATATTTACTGCATGAAATAATAACAATGACTAATTTTTATCTGGATGAGTGTTGAGGACAGTGGCTATTTATGATATAAAAAAGCAATTATAGCAAGGAGAGACATGATCTGAGCTGAGTTCCCTAGAAAACATAGTTGAAGATGAGGAGAGAGATCCTAATTAACTTCAGAACAGCAGTATCCAATATGTATACACTAGCCCCAGGTGGGGATCTAAATTTAAATTTAAGTTAATTGAGAAGTCCTAATATTTAAAATTCAGTTTCTTCAGCTCTGACATGTAAACAGCTTAGAAGTTATCATTTCTTTCCTTACAAGGTAAAAAAAAATATCTAAGAAAACTGAAAATTGATGTTTCTCATACCAATCAGAGGCTGAGGCTTCAGGGCCAGTTATAACCAGAAATCATAAAAACTAACAAATGCGAAGAAATTTGGCCAAGATTAGCTTATCTGAGCAGAAGCCACTAGAGCCATAAATTGTTAGGGAGGACAACTTAAGTGGTGATTTTGCTATCATGTACATTCCTGAGATCAACAGTCTTAGGAGGCCAAGAGTGTTAGGGTGTGACTGGAGGAGGGAAAAAGCTATAGGCCTAAAAGATTCTACTCCTAGAGATCTGGCACCAAAGTAGAAAGAGGAGGGAAGAAATACTCTAACCTCTGTCTTCTTCTACCCTCCCATCTCTTCAGCTTCTTCTTAGATATGAATGTATAAAGTACTAATATGAATGTATAAAGTACTAATAGCTCCTGAAGAAACAGCAAACTATATATCATTTATCATAGATTTGGAAATTAACTCCTCAGAGGTAATGATGACACAGTTTGAATTATCCCTTATTAGAAATGCTGGGAACCAGAGGGTTTGAAATTTCTTTTCTTTTTGTCAGATTTTTAAAATATTTGCAAATATATAAAATATATTGGAGATKAGACTCTTAAGTCTAAGAACAAAATTCATTTATGTTTTATATAAATCTCATGCACATATCTTGGAAGCAATTTTATATAATATTTTTATTGTGCCTGAGATTTTGACTATGACCTGTTATTTGAGGCCAGGTGGGGATTCTCCAATACTGTCACCATGTTGGTGTTCAAAAATTCTTGGATTTTGGAGCATTTTGAACTTCAAGTTTTCAGATTAGGGGTGTTCAGCACCACATGTGTAAAATATACAGGTAAAATATTTAATTGTATAAAAATCTTATGACATGGATAAGAAAAAGATTGAGTAATCAAAATAAATGAACAAGGAATACAAATAACACAAGATTGAATGAAAACATAAAAACCTGCAAAGTTATTATAAATTTGAAAGTAAATTAAAATGATTGCAATGGTATATAAGTAAGTATGTATATATTTTTTTAAAATTATGCATACCATATGTTTATAACTATATTAAAATACACTAAAGAAAGAAGGAAAAATTTGTGTGGAAAAATTGTCATATTTTTTATTCAATATTTTTAAATTTCTATATAATTTTCCATTATAAAATTGTCTTTGCTGAGCATAAAGATATCTTTAAGTTAAATGATACATCACCAGAAAATTAAAACAGGGGACATAAGGACATAGTTATTTTTAAGAATAAAAATACATTAAGCTGATATGCAGAAGACATATGTATACCAATATACTATATGCACATATACAAAAAAATGGGAAAATGAACTTATAAAAGTAGCAAATACACATAAAACTATTTATGAGGAAATGAGGTTAATCATAAGAACATAAGCTTAGTATTCAAAATTTTAAAATTCTGAACAAATATTACTATGACTCCCCTTTTTCAAAAGGTATACTCAAAGCTTCTTTTCAAATACGCATGTTTGTTCATTTTTTAATTCAAGGGCATTTTAGTCTCTATGTAAGTCAAAATATTTTTTTAAAGGTTTTAGGAAAAGAATTTGAGTTGTATTTGTGTATTAAAAAAAATCAACTTGATAAAGCAAATCATCTGTGGCTGTCACGCAGCTTCCTGCGTTTGAAGCACCATCACCTACTTCAGCAAGTGAAAAACAAAGTCATATTTGAAAATGCTTTAAGCTTGTAGTTTTATTTTCCAGTACCCAGTGTTTGATTCTTAGGGTGAGTTTACCTTTATCAGTATTAATAGTATTGCCTTTATCACAGATTTCTTACCACCCCTAAGTATAAGAAAAGGAATAACTTTTAAATTTATTCATTTATGGACTACGCATACAACATATACATGATCCTGATATCAAATCATCTTTTAAATCATACACACTGATAATTGTTACATAAATAAATGTTCATAGCACATCAGCACATTGGGTTTGAGGTCTTAGGGTTCATCTGAATAAGAAAGAAGTTTCCATCTCATGGTTGTATCAACTTCTTCATCAACATTTCCCAGTTCTGGCCTACTAAAAAGTTCCAGAAATACCTAAAGAGRAGACAAGGAGAAAAGGGAATAATCAGATTATAAACCATCTTCCAAATAATCAGAAAAAAAAACACATGTTGCTTGCATGTGAAATTAATAGGGATGAGAGAAATTCAAGTGGTAGACTCACCTTTTCCAGCGTGCACTGAGAGAGGCTATATTCTTCCAGGTTAAAGTTATGTTTAACTGGTGGGAAAAAAGAACTAGGTATAGATGCTGGCATTTTATTACCAGGATTTGTTCCAAGTTATATGAACTAAATCTTCAAAATATTAATATAACTAGATAAACCAAATAGACAAATAATTTGCAGAAGGATGATATAATGAACATCATAAGTAGTTAATATAAATGCATACTAAATTCATCTTGATATTAGGATTTTTTCAAACCTTGTCTGATAATGTGTTGTGATATTAGCATATGTGTTTGGGGAATTACAAATGTTCCCTTACTGACATATCCTTAATACATGAGGAAGATTTTTATTCTTGTTTCGCACCCATCTCGTACTCCCCTTAGTAGGTTCACCTGCCTCACCAGGTCTCTGCTAGTTTTCTCCACCACAAACTCTAAATGACATCTGTCACTGGATTCATATATTCATTCACTTGTTCATGGTTTATCAAGTACAGCCTAAGAATCTCCTACATGAAAGGCGCTCTCAGATGCCAGAAACAGAACAATAAAGAAACAGGCAAAACCCTCTGCCTTTGTATTTGCATCTTAGTGGGGGTAATATGGGCATTAATCCATGAACCCTTAAGTATATAACAGAGTAAATTATTATAGTGGCTCTAGAGAAAAAGAAAATAGATAAATAAAATAGGGTGTGCTGGGCACTTTTTTAAATAGGATGTTCAGGAAGGTCACAGAAATAAGGTGATCATTGAGCAGAAACCAGAAACAGTGGAGAAGCAGCTTGGATATTTAGTAAGAATTCCATAATACTAAGWCCTGAGGCAGGAACACTATGTCTGGCAGTATTTAGGAAGAGCCAGGAAGTCCATTGTCTAGAGTGAAAGGAGTACAGCAGAGATTACTTATTATCTCAAGCACAATGAACCAGGCACAGTTCTAGGTACTCGAAATTAACTTCTTGAATACTCTGAACAACCTGACAAAGAGGGCACTGATATTATTCYTCATTGTCCAGATGAGCTATCTACACAGGGGTATCAAGCAATTTTTACCTAATGTCTGGGGTAGTAAGCAACAGCAGTGGCATGGGAACCAATAAGACTGGTTCTGGACTCTGAACTCTTCACCACTATGCTGTGCTTAGAAATTACACCACACTGGTCTGCTGCTGAGAATGACCCACTTGAAAGCAGAAAAATGATAGCAAGTAGCAAGAGAAATTATGCTCAGTCAGAGAATGATACCCTTCCTGTGGCTATCATTCAAAGCCACAGGAAGGCTGAGAACACCAGCACGGATATGAGGAGGTTGATGGACAAATGGAAG